GTGTTCCCAGTCCAGATGCTTTTCCGAAGGATCCGGAGCTGTTGCTCCAGAAGCTGAGGGAAGCAGAAGCTGACGCTGCTGCAGCCGCTAAGCAGGTTTCTGCTCTGAAGGAACACGTCTGCAAGTTGGGCGACTCGCTCAAAAACGTGAGTGGCGGCCCGGTCTGTGGTTCAGTAGACGACCTGGTGGAACCGGAGCCTCTGACCCGTTTGGTTCTGCCTGCAGAAGCTGATGTGGTCCGGTCTGGACCAGCAGAAGGAGCTGCTGCTGGGGAAGCTGGAGGCGTTCGAAGTCACCAACCGAGCCCTGCGCCATCTGCTGCGGGAGCAGCGCGAGTCCCAGGTACGCATAGTATTCACACCCAAAGTATTCAGCAGACCAAACACAGTGGTACTGAGCACGTAAATCTTTTTGCTTTCAGCCTCATTTCCTCTGATTCCCCCAAATAAAGTCCATAGCAACCAGCTGCATCATGAAAATTACAAAAACTCTTCTGGTGCTTTTACTGTCTTACTTTGTGGAAATTCACAGCAAATACTTGAGGAAAAATGTAAATATTCAGAGTTATGTAGAGCGGCTTCAGAAGGCCCAAAGGCCACTGTGGCTCCGGAGCCGCAGGTTGAAGACCCCTGGTTTAGGTCAGAGCAGGGTCATGGGTTTGTGAGAAGGGCCTAGTCAAAGTGACTGCATCGTGACCGGATGTGGTTTGGTTGTGATCAGATGCAGTCCGTCGGCCTGTCGGAGCAGAGGAAGGTTCTCCTGAAGTCGCTTGCTGACATGGAGGCCTGGAACGCCGTGAGTTCACGCCGCATCATCCCAGCCGGATTACAGGATTACATTCAGATCTGGACCTCAACGTGGTTCTGGTTCTCTGGACTCCTTAGTTCAGGAGTGTGTTCCAGTATTATCCTCCAGATGGATCAGAATCTGTAATCTCTCATCTGTCCTCTGGGGGCGCTGTGTGTTTCTTTTCTCAGCTGCTGGTTAAGAAGCTTCAGGAGAAGGAAAAGGAGCTTCATCAACTCTCCACCCAGCTGGACTCTGAGAAGGTACCAGAAACAGTGTTATAATCTGGATTATAATCCAGACTATGATGTAGATTATAATCCGGATCATAATCTGGATTATAATCTGAGTTTGGAAACTGCAGGAGAATGCGAGGAGGTCGGCGGATTTGTCCCGGAATCTGGACGCCACCAGAGCTCGACTGCATGGTCAGCTGCGGAGCAAAGAGGCCGAGAACAACCGGCTCATCGTGCAGATAAAGGTCAGAGGTCACAGCTCCACCGGGGGTTTGGAGATCAGCCCCTGACCCAAGGCGTGTTCCCGCAGAATCTGGAGCGGGCGGCCAATCAGCAGCTGGCGGAGGCGGACCAGGTGGCGCAGCAGCTGGGCCGGGCCAAGCAGGAGGCACAAGAGGAGCAGGAGGCGCTGAAGCGGGCCAGCCAGGCCCAGAAGAAGCGGGTGGAGCGCTGCGAGGGCACAGCGGGTCAGCTGAGCGCACAGCTGCTGCAGAGGGTGGGTCCAACATGGCTGCATGGCAGGGCCGGCTACACCTAGATCTGTTAAACCCTGATCAGCTACAGCTGACCACGTCTGTCTGGCCATCAGGAGAAGCAGGCCGCTGAGGCTCTGGCTTCAGCTGACGCCTGGCAGCGTCGCCATGGAGAGGAAGCAGAGGAGAAGGGTCAGCTGGAGGTGGAGCTGAACCTGCTGACCGGGTGGGTGGATGGATGG